ATTAATACTAATAAATACACGACCTATATATATATTTACTAAAACCATTTCATTGAGATAACGTGAGATATTCTGAATTCCGAGGCCCCGCACATGAACCTGGGATCAGCTGGTAACCTCGTAAGTCTGTCTTCCTCGTGGCCGCGTGCCTTGTAGTAAATGCATGTGAAGGCCGCGCGGTCCCTTGGTGCCCCTTCCCCCAGAGCCCGCCGGCTCCCTGCCGCGGAGCACAGGACCGCGCGCCGACCCTGTGAGGTTTCCTCCCCCAGAAGCTGCCGCCCGCCTTGCCTCGCTCTCCGGAAAGACAGCCCTGCCTGTCCTCCCCCGGGGGCAGGCGTCTGGCCCTGAGTGACCGAAACCGAAGTCAGACCGAACTTAAGCAAAAAGCAAACATGCAGGGTCCTGCGCCTGAGGCTCCGGGGCACTCAGGGCTGTCGCAAGTGTCGGCTGGACCCAGGGCCGTCAGTGACGTCGTGGGGGCCCTGTCTCTTTGGCTCTGGGCTCTGCTGCTCTCTGTTTAGCTTCCTTCTCCATTCAGACTCCCTTCCGCGGGCAAGGAGGCGCTGGCCGCTCCGGGAGCGGGAGTCTCGCCGTCGGGAGCCGGAGAACAAAGCTGCGCTCCCCGTGGCTCGCGGAGGAGTCCCCGTGGGCTCTGCTCTGGCCTCGGCCACGCGCCCGTCGTTCAGTCAAAGAGGGTGCCTGGAGCCGCGGGCGCAGGCCTGGCCGGCCGGGTCCTGCGCTCACGCCCGGGAGAGGAGGCTGTGGCCAGCCGTCGGCGCAGAGGTGCGCCGACGCCCCACGGCGCTCTGCACGATACTCTCTTCCTTCGCTGTACTTCAAATTCCTCTTTCTAGTGAAAAACCCATGCTTTTCTGCCTTTGGGCTCAGGGGTGTTCTCTCCCAGGCCCCACTCAAGGGAGGGGAGCGAGGTCCCTCCTGCAGATGTGGGGCCGGGCAAGGCGCTCATCTGATGTGGTGAAAAGTCCCACTTATTTGGGAAACCCCTGAAGCTCGGAATTTACCTAAAAAAACAACTTTTCAGCAATAAAAGACATATGCCAGGATATATTTATTATAATATTCTTTACAAAAGCAAACAACAAAAACAGAATACACACACAAAAAGCAAGAAAATCTATTTCCCTCTGAAACCTCAACCCAACCTCATGCAAACCAAACCCAGTAAACTAAAAAAATAAATAAATAAATAAATCTACCTTAGCCTAGCGTTAGAACAAAAATTAAAATTAATTAGGACACAATAACATGATGGACTATAGAAGATGATATTCAAAAATGAGATTGTTAAGGATATACAGATAAATATAACCAAAGTATCTGTTAAAATGTTCTTTAAAATTAGTGTCCCCCGTCATTTCAATGATCAATACAAATGTGTTGTACTAAATCCTGATTTTCACTGCTAACTATAATCATTCATAAACAGAGAAAAGGCAACTCAGTTTTCTGGGATGTGTCAGGAGCTGAAACGCATGAGCCTTTCTGAGCTGTGAGCGATTGTGTTGGCGCTTTCGTCTTCTCGCTGCCGGCCTGGGACCCGAAGGCGGGCGGGCGGGCGAACCAGGGCAGGCTGCGCGCCAAACCGGCGCTGCCCGCCCCTCCAGCAGTGGGGTTCTGCCCTGTAGCAGGCGCTGAATGTAGTTTCTCAAACATGCTGTTGTGTAACTTTTCTACGTCTACGACACTTGCAGCTGTTCTCAGAACCCGGGCATGACACCTCCTGGGTGACTCCTGGTCCCTGAGCAGTGTCTCTGGACGCACAGCGGTCCTGCCCTGGGTCTGAGTCCTGCCGGGCTGCGCCAGGCGCCAAGCTCAGGAGTGGGCTCGCTGAGGGCGGCGCGGTGGCGAGGCCACCTTCCCTGCGGCTGGCCTGCCGATGTGATCGCTGGGAACTCCAAGGCCATGGCCTGGGGTCTCTGGCAGGCCGCTGCCCCTGCAGCCGGCGGAGTGCAAGGGATGGACGCTTACACATCCTGAACATCGATACTGGGCAGAGCGTCCGCACCCCAAGCCCAGACTCCCAGGCAAATGGCTCCTCTGGAATTCGCCTTCACTCCCGTCTTCTAGAATCTGGTGAAAATCGCTCAAGATAAAGCTCAGGGCCCATACACACCTCCCCGGACCTGCTGGGTCTGTGGAGTCTGGGCTATTCATCTGCGAGTTGAAAGTTAATTTAATGTGCTTATTTATTTATTTCTCATTCCCCTTCTTTCTCAAAAGCAGTTGGATGAGATTTGGGGGCGCGCAGGAGCAGAACACAGCAGTTCCAGGGTGCTGGTGGGTCAGAGAGGATGGTGCTCTTAAGGTGCGGGGCCCGAGGTGGGTGGTGGGCTGCAAATGCTGCCCCCAAAATAGCCACGTCAAATCCCTGGAACCTGTGAACGTGACCTTATTTGGAAAAAGGTCTTTGCAGATGTAGTGAAGTTAAGGGTCTCGAGAGGGGACCATCCTGAATTTTCCAGCTGGGCTTGAGATCCAATGGCAAGTGTCCTGGCAAGAGATGCAGAAGAGGCGGCGATGGGACCACAGACCAGGGGTGGCTCAAAGCTGCTGGCAGCTGGAGGAGGCGGGGACAGAGCCTGGACCCTGCCGAGGGCCCGGCCCTGCCGCCTCCATGATTTGGGACGCCTGGCCCCCAGAGCTGGAGAGAACCCACTTCTGCTGCCTGAAGTGATGTGGTTTGCGGCCCATGGGTACGGCAGCCACAGGAAGCCGGTGAGGGGGAGACCGAAGCGACGCCTTGGCCCGTTGGGAGGCGGCCAGGTCCGCCTGGGCTGGGCTCGCCACATCAGAGGCGCCGCATGCGTTCTCTGAGGGCGGCAGGTTTCGGGGGAGCCCTTGTTCTGGGGAGGGATTCACCGCCCCCTCAGGGGCTCCCGGGCCTCAGCACCAGCCCTGGGACAGCGCGCACCGGCTGTCCTTCCTGCCGGCCACCGGGGCCGAGGGCCGCGCCTGGCATCAGGTCCAGACCAGACCAGACCCGAGCGATCTTGGCCGCGGCGGCTGGCGCAGCCCGTGTGTGGCGTTGCTGCGGCAGCCACTCGCCCTGAGCCCCGCTTCCTTATTTCTCAGCGACAGGGACGCCGTGGGTGCGTCCGATGCAGGGGATGTCGTGCGGGTCGAGCCACACGAGGGGCTTTTCCCGAGGGGAGTGCCCGTGCCGCCCCACTCGCCCCGCTCTCTGTTCTGCTGCCCCCGCTGCGGGCCCGGACCTTGTCTTTGACCTTCCGTTCTTCTCCCTCTGCGTCCCTCCCCCTCCTCCTCCTCCCTTCTCCCCGCCCCCCGCCCCCAGCCAACACCCTGTATTTTTCTGACTTCTCTCCATGGACTAGTTTCGCCCGATGTCAACCTTCAGGTAAAGGAATCCCACGCACACTGTGTTTTTGTCAACGTTGGATTTGTAAGAGGAATTCGTGTTGCTGTGCGTAACTACAGTGAGTTCTTCATCATTGCTGTGCAGTAGTCCGACCTATAAATGTACAACTGTTTATCCACTTCACTGTGGATGGACATTTGCGTTATTTTCGACTTTGACCTTTAAGAGTAAAGCTCCTCTGCAGATTCTGGAACACGTCTTTGGTGGGAAAAACAAAAAAGGTACTCATTTCTGTTTGGTATACGCCCACGAGCGGGACTGTTAGGTCACAGGATATGAACACATTTGGTTTTAATAGACATCACCAATTTTCCCAGGCGGTCATACCCACTTACACTCCCGCCAGCCAGGAACAAGGGCGCCATGCAGCTACATTATAAATGGCTACAACATCTGCAGTGGATGCCGCTGGGCGGGCGGGGCGGTGCGGGGGAGCCCACCCCTCCCTGCGGCCCAAACCCCACCTTGGAGCCAGGGCTCAGAGCGGGGTGTGGCCGCCACCCCAGGGACGGTCCCAGAGCCTCTCTGCCAGACCCCAGCGCCGGGCCGCTGTCCAGGGCAGGGGTTGCCCATCGGGCTGCCCGCACAGCCTGTGGGGGGCTGCTGGGAAGGGCTCTGCGCCCCGGGCCCCCTGGATGCCAGTCAAACAAAAACCTCCAGAGGAAGCGCCTGGGCCTTGATAACTTTAGAGCCCAGTCAGCCGACTGGGCAGCCATGGGCGCAAACCAGTGTGCCAGCGCCTGGTCAGGTTTTAGGGCATGCGCCTGTCCCCCAGGGTCGCTGTATGTTCTTGGGTCAGGTTTGCGTCGTGTGTGTTTGTGGACATGCATGTCACGTCTCTATTCCTAAAGGAGCCGATGCAAATCAAAGGGATCTGTCCACAGAAGCCCACCTTGAAGCAGCTCCTGGGAGAATGACTATCCACCAAGTCCATGTGCGGCATTCACATCATGGGGCTCTTTCCAAAGGGACCTTCCGGCCACAACTCAACACTCACTCCCATCGCGGGCTGGCAGCCACGGCCACCGCCGCGGTCACCGACCCCCCCCGACTCTCGGGGACGCGGCTTCATCGGTATCCCTTAGGCCTTTAATGTTCATTTCTCGCCTGCCCTTGGATCATACCAAAAGGCCTTTCCGGCTTCTGCTTCTCCCAGACACTCAAGATTTTGCACAGAAATCTAAATAGCGGGTGCAGATGTGGAGCAATGGCCTTTGAAGGGCGAACTCCTTCCCTCACAGCCCAGCGCCCCGGCCTGGCTGCTTCTGCCCCTGCGCAGAGCCCTTCGCCCGGCTCATTGCTAGACGCCCTGACCGAGGCCGGAGGGTGGGAGGGCGGGGGGTCGCTCCTCCTGGGTCCCCGGAAGGCAGCGCGGGGACTCACGGAAGAGAAATTTGCGCGCCGCTTGACATGTGGGCCGCAGGGGGCAGCGCTCTCTGGTGTCCCCCTTGAACCCCCCACAAGCCCGCCCTACGGCGCACCTTGCTGCGCCGGGGAGCTCCGCCCGCCGACGTCACAGGAGACGGCCAGGGGCAGCTGTGCACGTTGCCTTTATTTATGACAAGGAGAAGAAGCAACAGCAAAGGAAACGGAGCACGACGATCTAAACTGCCCTCTTCATGGTCTTGATGATCCATTTGAGGTATTTCTGAGAGAGCAGCGCATAGACGCCGGGCCACCGCGGGTCTCCACACTTTTTCTTCTTGCCGAAGGAGGTGATGCCCCTGAAGGTCCCCTCGCAGATCAGAGGGCCTCCGGAGTCTCCCTGGGGAAGACAAGAGGGGGCGGGGATCAGCATCAGAGAGGGACAGGACCGTTGCTGCGCGGAAGAGACAGCGTTTGAAATGGAGTTAAGACCACCCTTCACGCCGTTGAAACCTGGCACTCAGAGAGCCCAAATGTCGAGAATATTTTAACGCCTCTAAGCTGTCTCACTTGATTCGGTTACGAAGCAGTGAAAACGGAAGGGGAGCTTGCTTGCTGTTTACGGTGCCCCATGATTCTGGGGCCCATTCTCTGCTTCGGAAAGGAAGTCCTTCTCTTTGTCGTTTTCTCAAAATGCTCATAGCTCGGGGGCAGAAGAGTCCGAGGCTGGTGGGACTTGGAGACAAAAGATAGGAACCCCGTTTCCTAGTTTCTCCCACAAAGAACTGTCTTCCCAAAGAAATGAAATGAAAGCAGCCATTCCTCGCCCCCTCAAAGAGACAAAAATGTCTCTCCACGCCTCCGCGGGTTCTGGGCGGACGCTCCGAAACCCACGCCCCCACCCCCGGCGCGGACTCCGTGGCTTCGCTCTGCCCGGCGGCTCCCCCCTGGGCTCTGCGCCGTCTGTTCTCGCAGGGGATCCCAGGACGGGCCTGTGTGCACGCACCCCCGGGCTCGCGACCGCGCCGCTGGGGCTGGACGGGGCCCCGGGCTGCAGGCGGCCGGGTCCAGCATCGTGCAGGTGGTGGGGAGCCTCCTGTTCTCACGAGAACGGGCCTGTGTGTGGCGGGGTCGGGGGCCACGAGAGAGGCTGGCACGGAGCTGTGTCTCCTGCCTCGGGGAGCCCTTCAGGTTCAGAGCCATCGCCAGGACAGGCCAAGCACAGCTAAGCCCACACGGCAGAGGGCGGCAGGCGACGGGCATCTTGGGCTGCTGTCATGGGCTCGGGGTGTCGTGGGTGGGTCCCGAAAGCATGCGGGCTCCGGGTTTCTGGGCGCCCAGCGTGCCGAAGGGCGGGGAGGGAGGGCGGGGGCCAGGAGAGAAGCGGCCGGCGCCGAGGCCAGAGGCTGCCCTGTCCTGGGAATGGCCCAGGCCGGCCCCGAGGGAGGGCTGCTCAGGCTCTGCTAGTGTCTAGAAGCCCCCGGAAGGATGCAGGACCCTGGATCTCAGTTCTGCTCACTCTCAAACCAGCTCACTGCACACGCTCCTCCGTGAGCCAGGCCCACAGGGTCTCTGGCAAAGGCGAGAAATGACAAGCCATCCCCCAGAGCTTAAAAGTCGTACAGTGTTTTTTCTACCGGTCCCATCCCTTCTTGGGGACGCTGACACAGAGCCTACACATTGTCTGAGTGGGTCGTGCCTGGAAGTGGCATGCTGACGTCGGACTCGGATCTAGGAGGCTGTGGGGTCCTCAGTCCGGCCTGGGAAGGACGGCCCCGCCGGCCCCCCAGGGGGAATGGCAGAGGAATCTGGGGGTGCGCTGAGGTGGGGGGAAGGGTGCACAAGGCCCAGGGGGAACCCTGACTTCGGCTCTCCTGAGTGTTACATTTTTCAAAATTTAGATCCACGTTTCTTAAAATGCAGAGCGATAAAAAAAACAACATTGCTTCTTGGGTGTTTTTTTTTTTTTTTAAATCCTCACCCAAGGATATGCTTATCAATCTTAGAAAGAAAGGAAGGAAGAGAGAGAGAGGGGTACATTGATGGGAGAGAGAAACATTGATCAGCTGCCTGCTGTGTGCACCCAACCATGGGCCGAACGGAGAACCTAGGCCTGTGCCCTGACGGGGAATCGAACCGGAGCCCTTTGGGTGTACGGGACAACGTGCCCACCAACCGAGCCACCCGGCCAGGGCTCTTGGGCAGCTTTGACACGTCATCCGGAAGAGGGTGCGGGTCATGCCGCCGCTGCAGTGAACGTGTGATTCTTGCTGGCCTGCGCGCCCCGCTGAGCACTCGGGGGCCACGGAAGCCAAAACCGCGGGAAGACTGAGCACACGGGGCGTCTTCTGCGTCCGCGCGTCCCCACCCAACGGCTGGGGGCGGGGCCGTCCTGCACTTACCCGGCAGGAGTCTTTTCCGCCTTTGAGGCTTCCGGCACAGACCATGTTCAGGCTGATCACAGGGGTGTAGTTATAGTGCTGCGGGTCATTGCAGGTTTTCCTGTCGATGACAGTGACTTTGACCTCCCTTAGGTTGTCGGAGATTCTCTGATCCTGATTGTTTACCATTCCCCACCCTGCAACCTGGCACACGGTTCCTGGCTGTACATCATCCCCCCTTTTGGGGAGATTAAGGATAGCCACATTTTTATTAATTGTTGCTTTTTTCGCCAGCTGTTGGAAGACAAGCATCAAGAATTAAAAGGACAAGATAATGAAAATACTCATTTTTTTTTTTTTTATCACCCACAGGGCCCCGAGGGTAGGCATGGTCTGTCGCTAGAGGGTCCCCCAGGGAAGGGTGCCGAGTCGGTGGCCAGGCTGCGGGCGGCCCTGCGACTTTACGTCAACCAAAGGCCCGATCACAGGCACGCACCTGGACAAGTTTGAGGTCCCCCTCGTGCGTGTCCTTGTTGTAGCATGGATAGGGGAACTCTTTCTTCACCAAAATCTCCTGCTTTTCTGGCTCTCTCTTGGATACGGAGTGAGCCCCAAGAATGACTTTGGAAGTTCTGTTCCTGAAAACAGACACAACCCTGTGAATGGGTTTACTCTTTCAGGACGGAGCCCAGCACTCTGCGTGCTGACTGGCGCCGTTGTCTCGTGTGTGAATGTGCTGCCGGGGAAATGGCTGTGTGGGGATCAGAACACAAACCGTGTACTTGAAAGAACACAAAGAACGGTGTTCATGAATTCAACACTGTCATCGCCGGCATATTTATAACAAGCTGAGCTAGGTTTAGTGAAAACAGCAAGAATTCTGCGGCAGCTAAGCGCAGTCTTGGGATCTTGGGTGGGGTTTTGGGGGGTTTCCTGTCCCCCCCGCAACCCTCCTTCCGCTGGGATTGGGAATCTGGCTGCGGCTGACAGGGAGCAAGGTCTCGGTAGCCCAGGGACAGAAGCCAAGGCCTCGTGGCCTGTGTAGAGGGACTCACTGGAGGGCATCTCTGTAGGACAACAGCAGACTCATCTAAATGGCTGAACTTTCAGAAATACACTGAGCCGCGGAGGACCCGGCCTGCCTGCCATTGAGTGCGTGTAACTGGGGGCTGGCGGTCGGAAGGAGGGGCCCACATCCGCTCCCGCACTCTGTACTAAAGCTTCGCTCTGATTAATCAAACCGCAACACTCTGGTGTATTCCTGACCAAGGCCCTCGCCTTCCCCAAGCTGGTAGAACCGCAGCGATGGGACACCCACACTTCCCATTCCGTCTCCCGTTCCTCCGGCGGGCAGGAGTCTCGCTAAGACATGCGCGTGGTCGTGCCCTCAGCAGAGCACCACGGGGGCAGGGCACGGGAGAGACGTCCTCTGCACCTGCACTGTCCCCAAGGGAGCCAGGAGCCACGCGTGGCTACAGAGGACGTGAAATAGGGCCAGGATGACTGAGGAAATCCCGTTGTAATTGTATTCATTTAAATTCCCACAGCCACATGGAATTCGCCCGCCAACGGGAGGGCGGCCGCCGGGATGAGGCAGGAGAGCGGGCGGCTCCCAGCGGGGCCCGGGCCCGGAGACAAGCTTCCTCGACTGGGTGGCTGTGCGCGGCCCCGGGCTGGGCGCTGGGGACCGCCGGCTCGTTCTCCCCATCCGTGAAGCCAAGAACAGCCGCAGCCTTTTGGCGCCTGGGCCGGGGCTGCCGCGGGACTGACAGGCGGAGCCGGGGGGCCGCCCACTCAGGGGCTCCCTGGCCGGGGCATGGCCAGCCCTGAACTCCGGGCGGGCAGAGCGAGCTTCCAGAGCGCCTCCCGTGGCTTCAGTGGAATTCCCTTTCTTCATTAACATTCACCCGAGTCAGAGCGTCTCTGCGAGCTGCTGTTTCAAACCTGGCACTTACAGGCGGCAGTGCGCGGCCGTCAGCACCCACCGGTCGGCGATCAGAGCCCCGCCGCACAGGTCAGGGCCCAGAAGCAGCGCCATGTAGGGCCTCGAGTGAGGCACCACCTGACTCCCGCCGATAATCTCCATGCAGAGAGCTGCGGAAAAGAAGAAGGCAGGTCATACCCATGCCCGCCCCGAGAGCTCCGCCTAAAGCCGTGTTCCCAGGACCAGACCAGCGCGGAGCGGACGCGCTGGCGGAAGTGCCCGGCCCCGCTGTCCCTGCGGGCGCCCGGGGGTCTGAATGCAAACCCGTGCCTGCTGGACGTGCTCAGGGGCCCCTCCTTCCCACACAGAAGCCGCCATTGGCAGTTCCGGGGATCTTCGGGCTGCACATCGGGCCTCAGGCCTCAGGGCTTGCAAAGATGGGGCAGCTGGGCATTGGCCTCCAGGGGCTGAAGACAACCTCAAGAGCCTCCCGCCCCTTCCCCTTTCAGGCCGAGTGTAATCTGGGGAAGGAGAGAGGCTTTGAGAAGGCTGGGAACCCCCCTTTGCACCCCTTGTGGCTGTGACAACGTCCAGCTTGCAAACTGATACCCATACCTCCCAGCGGTGACCCCGCCCCTGAGCTCTGTGGTCCTCGGAGGCTTCCTTTCATTGAAATCTGCACTCTCCTCATTCACAAGTTGAGGGAATAACCTCGATTGCACCTGAGGCCGCCCTTCCCTCTCCAGGCTGAACCACGTGGTTAATCGGCTCTTTTCCGGGGGGGAGGGGGAAGGGAGCAGGGAAGATGCTCTAAGGAGGGAATCCTGCTTATGTGGCGTCTCCCTGAGAGTAGACCAAGAGTTTAGATGCACCGCTGGGGGACAGGAGGCCTGGACATGAGGTTCAGGAGATCCTGGCCCGTGTGGGTGCCCCCAGCTGCTGGCCTTCCCGCACCCAGTGCTCTCAGAGTCTCCGAGAACACTCCCCGGGGCCGCAGGCCCAGGCCCGCGCGTCCTGAAATAGGGCCCACGGGGCGCCTGGCACTCCATTCCTACAGCAATGCCCTGCCAGGTGCGCAGGAAGGTGCGTGTCCGAACGGAGGGGGCGGCGAGGGCGCGGCAGGTGGTGGCAGGGGCTCCGCCTTCCAGGAGGGAGCTAGGGAGGGGAGTTCTACGCTTGGGGAAGAAAAGGAGAAGGGACTTAGAGAAACCAAGAGCCCTCAGCCGCATCTCAGTTTTTCCTGGGGAGGATCACGTAAACGCAGACCCCAAAGGTGCATCTTTGCACCTTCTGGGCTGCGGAAATCAACAGGACCCTCTCTTTAGCTGAGTCCTCTGTTTGGGGAGCCCATGTGTCACCCTAGAGAGACGTCTGCAGCTCCTATAACCAACCACTCCTCGAAGGGCTGGCGCTAGGAATGTTTAGAACAGGCGGGAACATGTTTAAAAGCTAGCAACCCCTGGTCCCCACCCAGAATTGAAATAAATCGGGATTGCCTGGGTCGGGGCTGGGACGTCCCTGTCGTTTAAAAACCCTGCAGCGCACTCCCCCGTGCGGAGGCTCGGGTCCAGGCCGCTTGCGGGGCCTGCTTTGTGGGTCGTCCCCCGGGGGGCCCACGCCGCTCTCTCAGCTGCAGAGACCCCAGCAGGGCCGAGCCGGGCCCTGAGGTTTGGCGTTTCCCTTGAGAGAGGATGTGCCCGGAATAGCACGTGCTTTGTTTCCACCCTGGCGGAGAGCTTGACGCGCCCCCACGCCTTGGACTAGGCCGTGCGGACCCTGGGCCCGCCCTTCTGTCCCGAATGACCTGCAGCCCTGAATGATGACAATTTCTTCTCATTTTTAGCTGTGAGACGAACCAGGGAACTTCCCTGGGAGTTTCTGGCAAGGCAGGCTGTTGTATCACTAGCCCCTGCCCCTGAAGCCCCCAGCCCAAGCGGCTGGACCCCGGGCAAACCCACGGCTGCTCCCCAGCCATCCCGCAGCTCACCCCTGCCCTGGAGGGTCCTCCCTTCCTGGAAGGGGTTTAAAGGCAATCTGCAGCACCCCCGCCCCCAGCGGCTGGTGCCTTTCTAGTGAGGATGCCAGCAGTTCTCATGGCCTTTCAAACACACAACGGACGCACGTGGGACTCGCGCCTCGGCTACTACTTAGGACACGAAGAGTCAGCTCAGCACAGACGCTGCAGTCTTCCCAGGTGGCGCGCGCTGTGCTAACAGCACTGGCCTAGAGACACGGGCTACAAATTCTCATCACGCCTGCTTTGCTGCAGGTGTGCAGGTCAGGCGCATTTCAACGCCGTTAAAACTGCCTGCGTTTTCTGTAGCAAGAAAGGCTGAGGCCCCTCTGTCCCCTCCCTGAAAGGCGCTGTTCACGTCCTGACTCAAGAGCGCTTGGGCTGCTTGTTTGTTTGCGCCGTTGCCCTTTTTGGCAGTTTTACACCTTGGCAGCAATAAATGCCAGTGGCTCTATGATCTTTTGTGAAGAAGAAAGGAGGATGTTTTTCTTCCTAAAATAGAGACACATTTATAATCCAAGAAAGAAGCCGTAGGCTTAGGGGAGGGTCTCCTAGTGCCCTGAGCTCACATTCCCAAAATTCACGGCCAGCCGGCCCCTTGGGCTAGAAGGGAAATGACAAGAGCCGGTCTTACCTCCAGGAATCAGCAGAAGAACAGCCACCAAGAGGGAGGACGGCAGGCACACACCGGGCTTCCTCATTGTGGCTGCTGTCCCCACATCAAACAAGGGGCACTCTGTTTCCAGGCCTCGCGGGACGCTGTCTATATACCGAGCGCTCAGAGGATGTGGTGAGTGTTTGGAAACGAAAGAGAAGTGAGTGAGAGCAGCTCCCCAGCAGCTGCCCCCCCCCCGCCGCCCCGCCCCCGACCCCCACCAGCTCCGGCAGGGTGGGCTGCCTCTCCGCAGGAGTGGGTGCCCTCAGCACGGAGCCTGGGGGGCGTCTGAGCAGGGGTGAGGGTTCTGGCTCCCAGCCTCAGCAACATTATCTTGCACACAGATGGATGCTCTGCGGAGACTTCAACTCGAGCTTTAAAAGCGTCCTACAGATGGGTCACTAACCTAGGCTCTGCCTAGCATTTTGGGTGACAGAAGACCAGTAGGTCAAGGACAGAGGGCGGTGGGCCCCTCCCATTTCTTGGCTCCCATCAGGAGCGGAGGCAGGTGCGGGGACGAGCTGCCGGGGTGGAGCCGCTGGCTCTTTCCAGACCCCTGACTGTTTGGTGTTACAGCTTTAGGTCCTGGAAGGTATTTCTGGGTCCCCTCCCTCTTTTTCTTCCTTTGTTCCGGTATTGGGGCGACCTCCCTCTAAGGGGGACCCGTGTCCGTCCCTGAGGGAACCGTGTCAGGTGCTTTCTAGTAGAAATGGCTTCGCGCCTCTTCTGCGCGGAGGATGTGGTCTTTATTGTAACACCTATGGCCCTCTGTCCCGTTGGGGTGTTGGTGTTAAACTAACCCTAACCCCGGATTGACACCCTGATGGCTCCGGACTCAGGGGTTACTTTGCAGAAGTCACATGGCCCGGAGGGGGGCCGCTGGGGGCCCCCCGGGTTTCCTTTTCCCGGAATCACTACCTAGTGTATCACAGGTTACTCAGGTCTAGTCACACTGATGGGACGCCCAGCTCCTGGTTTTGGACCTTTTGGCGCAGACTAAAAGAGAAACAGATATTGACTGACTATAGTTACTCAGACTCTGTTAAAGGAAACATCGGTGAATTTGTTTCTTTCTATGTGAATGCGATTTTTAGCATATTTACCACACCTCTGTAATTATTGGGTCGGCCAAGAAGTCCCTTTAGTTTTTTCCCGTAAAATAAAAGACACGTTTTTCATTTTCACCAATACGTTTACTGATTTGGATATTCTGAGTTTGTCAGCTGCCTTTGACATGGCATAACATCGACTGTTCTCAAGTCGTGTTTCGATTTGCTTGCTCTCAGCTTCGGCTGGCCCGCCCGACGGGGAGCATCGTCCAGCGAGAAGTCTCCTGCGCGCAGCCTCGCAGACCACGACGGACCCGCTCGGCCCGTCACCGCGCCTTCTCCACTCACCGCGCCTTCTCCACTCACCGCGCCTTCTCCACTCACCGCGCCTTCTCCACTCACCGCGCCTTCTCCACTCACCGCATGCACCTTTTCCTTTGCATTTCAGTTGTGTTTTTACCTTTCTTGAAATGGTAAAGCACGATATGCTGAAAATGTTGCATGTTTTCTTCCATCTTCAGTATATTAAAAATGGCTACACAAAAATTCACGCATATTGATACTCTTGATATGACAGTTGTCACAGACAATCTATCAAAATTGTTGCGAATGAAGTTAGAGACAACTCAGTGTTAGCGAGAGCCGTTGTACAGAAAAAAAACAAATGAAAATTTTGGCCAACCTGGTAATTCTAGAACATTCTCACCATTTCCAAAAGAAGTGCTGTCACTTCCTATGACTCCCCGGGCCCACTCCCGGGCCTTAGGCAACTGCTGGGCCACTCCCTGTACCCCAGGTTTGTTTATGCCAATGGATTGGAAGACATGTGCCGCCTTCAGACATTTTTCATTCATGTGCCTTTGAGGTCCGTGTGACGTGCCTCGGTACTGCGTTCCTTTCCATCACCGAATGATAGTCCATCGTGTGAAGATACCATATTGACTTGTCCACTCACCAGGGGAGACACATTGGGGTTGTTTCTACTTTTTACCTATTATGAATAGGTAAATGTTGCTGCTGCAACATTTATGGACAAGTTTTTGTGTGGAAATATGTGTTCACTTTTCTTGGGCATACACCTGGGAGTTTGATTATTGGGTCATGTGGGAACCCTGTGTTTAACATTTTGGGAAACTTCTAAATAGTTTTCCAAAGTGTCTGTACCATTTTATTGTACATTCCCATAAAAACGTATGAAGGTTTCACTCTTTTTACGTCACTGCCGATACTTGTTCTTTATTATTTTAAAAAGCCACTGGTGTTCTAGTGGGTGTGAAGTCATCTCTTACTGTGGTTTTGATTTGCTTTTTTTAAATGACTAATCATGTTAAGCTTCTTTTTATGTGTTTGCTAGACATTTACACAAAATACCTTCTTTGGAGAAACAGCTGTTCAAATAGGTTGCCTGGTTTTACTTGGATTGTCTTTTTATCGTGGGGTCGTAGGGTCTGGTGTTCAACGAACCATCCCGACAGCACACCCTGCTCACTTCGGGCCCAGGGCCCCTTTCTCAGGCATCGCTCGGCCTTAGGCATTTGGCCGAGGAGGCATGCACTTTGCAAGCATTTTCGCCCAGTCTGTGGGTTGCCTTTTATTTTTCTCGACGGTGTCTTTCGAAGCACAGCATTTTAACCGCCGCGAGGTCCGACCCCCCGCCTCTTTGATCACTTGTGTGTCAGGTGTCACGCCCGAGGAATCACTGACTCGCCCAGCCCCACGGAGGCATCGCTTTCATTTTTCGCCAAGAGCGTCACAGTTTTCGTTCTCGCGTTTAGGTCTACTCTTCAATGGAAGTTTCTGGGCAGTTCAAGCTAACGTGTGTGTGGTCTGAGGCGGGGGCCCGGCTCCGCCCTCGGGCCTGTGGACATTCAGTTGTTCCGGCGTCGTTGGTTGGAAACGCTCTTCCTTTCCCACCGGACGGTCCTGCTCCCTGTGTCACGAGACAGCGCGCCGTGGGTGTCAGCGTTTGCTCCTGGACTCTCGGCCCCGTGACGCGGTCTGGCCTCGGGCGAGCCCCGGCCCCCTGCGAGCGCTGCAGCCTTACTGGACGTCCTGAAATCGAAAAGCGTGTGTCCACTAACTCTGCCGCCAACTCTGTTGGACTCTAACCATCTTTTTTTCAAGATTGCTTTGCCTACAAAATATACATTTAAAAGATTGTGTGTGCAGGGCATTTCTTCATATTCTTGGGAAAAATTTTAATTCATTCCAGCTGTGAACGGACCATTGCGATACTGTAAACCAGTGGTGCGGCTCGTGGACTCCGGGGGGTTCCTGAGGCCCTTTTTGGGGTTCACAAGGTCAAAACTATTTTCACAATAAAATTTCACTGATGGCACAAAAGCTGTAACGGGTAAAACTGCTGGGGCCTTTGCACAAATCAACGCAGGAGCAACAAATGGTACTAGCAGGCACTGTATTCTTCATGGTCAGGCACCGGGGGGAAAGGAAGGAAGAAAGAAAGAAAGGAAGAAAGGAAAGAAGGAAAGAAGGAAGGAAGGAAGGGAGAGAAATAATCCACTTTCACCCAAGAGTGAAAGGGATGAAAGAATAAGAGCAAATTTTAATTTTCACACATCTTTACCCTGTAGTAAATGCCGTTTTAACAGTCCCCATGAAGGGGGAGGGGCACGGAGCCCCACCAGTGCTCTGGCCGAGCCCGGAGCGTGGAGGCGGCCCGAGGAGACGCTCCTCCATGCCTGAGCTGGAGCCGATCCGTCGTTCGGGGCAGGGCGCTCATTCAGACTTGGCTACTTGGCTGACCTTTTCTCAGATATGGATGTGGGAAGCCCATCACTTTAGAGAAAACAACTTTCATCGCTAAGAGTGATAAATCAGAGACCACGAGTGGATGTGAGGGCTCCCGGAACGCTCGCGGCTGCTGCCGGGGGCTCACGGCGTCTCCGCGCTCGGGGGCTTCCTTGATGAACGGGCAGCAACATGAACGAACACGATTTAAAAGCACGGTGTGATGAAATGCGCCAGCATTTAGAAACCCGACAAGTCGGTGAATGGGCATTTCCCGGGAGCAATGCACGTGTCTGTTTGAATCTGCTGTGCTCTTCCTGGGGTGGCAGCGGAGGGAACCGCTCTGGGGAACTCGCCCGAGACTATGGGAATTGGTTAGTTGCGCTAATATTTACCGCGTGCCCATGTGGAACCAGGCGCAACGTGCAGTGCCGGGCACGAGGCGCAAAGGGGACGAGGGCAGCCTCAGCCCTGGCCGGCTGTGAGCGCACGCGGGCGGGGGGCGGGGGCTGAGAGCCTGCAGGGGGCGGGGGGGGGGCAGGGAGCGCGGAGACGAGGGGCTGGCCGCCCCGGGGTGGCCGCTAGTTCACTAAGGGGAGCCAGTGGCCCGCCTTGGGCAGCGGCAAGGCGAGTGGACCCCTGTGCCGCCTAACAGGCACCTGAGAGTCAGGTGAGGTGACAGGCGGGACCACCGCGGTCCCTGAGGGCTCCCTGGTACGGGTCTGACTGGGCGGGCTTGGCCGGGGCAGCGCAGCAGCCTGGCCAGGAGCAGCGTGAAGCGGGAGGCAGGAGGGTGCCGGCCTGTGTCCGAGCGAGCTCAGCTCCCACCAGGCCGTCCGAGGGTCTGCAGCTGGGGGCTCTGCTCTGGCCCGGCCAGCCCCCCTCCAGATCCCCCCAGGACGGGGCACGGAGGCGGCTCTGTGTGCAGGGAGCATTCTGTACAGATGCGAAGCGACCGTCTGCGGTTACCAGCGCCGCACAGGGGAAGACCTGGGCGCTGGACTGGAGAAGACAGTGCGGCGGGGGTGTCCGTCTGAGAGGGGTCAGGGAAGGCTTTCTTGAGCGCTGCCACTCCAGCCGGGACCCGCGGAGGAAGGCGCCACGCTCAGGACCCCCAGTCCGTGGGCGAGCGGGGGTGCGCGGCTGGATGTGGGCGCGCACGCGTGCCCGGCGGGCGGCAGGCCTGGGGCGGCGGGGTGCAGGTCGGCTGTGCGGTTCGGGCGAGGCGGAAGGCTCAGGGGTGTTCCGAGCGCCCAGGACGGGCCCTGTCGTGGGCGATTTCACCGACGCGCTTGGGGGCTGGAAGACACT